CAGCCATTTTGTTTTGAGCTTGACACTTGTTTCACAAAAGCCTTAGGAGGTAACTTTTGTTAAAGATAAGTAAGTACAAGGCGCTTCCTAGTTTAGTGACGCTATACAAGGTGAGCCTTTAATGAAAATTTCAAAATCGTGTTCGCTGACTGTGGCGAGAAAGACGATTTTATAAGAGAGAGTTGTGCTGTAGGAAGAGCGGCTGTCAGCTAAAAAATCAAAAAATAACTGATTTAAAATTGCAAATCTCCTAATGCCTGTGACAGATGTTAGGAAATTGAGAAAGTTGTCTTTCATTATAAACAAACTAATGGGTTGGGGACAACAGGCTGTATCATTTGTCTAAATACCCTGCTGCCGTGTCCAGGGGTCAAAAAAATTTGCGTTCTTTTGGACACGAGTGGTTTTTAAAGTTTAATTATAGATTCGGTCTAGCAATCTCTAGGGTAGAAAGGTTCCAACAAGTTTTTATTTTTTATTTATTCATTTTCTTTTGAATATTCATTTTTACATAATTATTAAGGGAATTGTAATTGGACATATTTGAATGTTGGACTGCAGTAGTACTTGTAGTTTTTAAAAGTTAGAATAAATAGCATTTGTCAGTTGCCCTTGATGTAACTTCGCAGCCAGTGTATTTTTTTTACACTCAATTAAAGAGGCGTTTGAATTACCAAAAGGGGCTGTAAAATTTAAGTAGCGAAACGAAACTATTGTTATCATGTTCATTTCTCCTTTTTTATAGTAACACTAGTTACAAACCTGGTTTTTAAGCTTCTCTCCTTTGGTCTCTTAGGAAACTGTTTTGTTAAGTTGGCAGCTGGAAGGTCAAATGTTGTCAAAGAACTAACCGCTTGGACTGTCTTGTCTGTACTTGCTACTGTAGTACTGGTATATAATGGTGTAAAACGAGAAAGAAGAGGAGCAACTTTTGAGATTATAGGTTAGTCAGTATAAAAACAATTTAAGATTTCCTTAATAAGTTAAAACGAAGAGAAAATTGGTTTTTTTTACAATGGGTTTTGAACGTGGATAATATGAGATGTGGTCTAGATCTAGACCGGTGTGTATAAAAGTTTAGTTGAAGATTTCTTAATATTTATAAACAGCGAAATGAAAGTAGGTTTATCAATTGATCTGAATTCAGTTTTCCTTGCGGTGGCTAGAGCTTCTTTCAAGATGTAGATTAATGAGAACTTACTGGTTAACGTTGTTTAGGAACCCCGTTGGAGGAAAAATGATGCGTTATATACAGTACAGTTTTTCTTTGAGAACTTCCTTTTTCGTTTTTGACTTACACATCTCGGTTTTTTCTAATCCATTGTATTCTTACACTTTTACCGTTATAGACTGCTAAAATATTTGTTTCCATTAACTGGTAATAATGATCTGAATTTGAACTAAGAGATGTTGCAGTGACGTGAAGATGATTAAATATTACTGTTACAATATTGTGCCTCTACCAGGTCGTGAAGAAATGCGTCGATTTTTTTGGAAGTCTGTAGCGGAAAAAAACGATATATATAACAACCGTAGAGTAAGTCTTACAGCAGATGTGGTCAGGTGGCGTATTTAAAGTTGAATTATCGTTTTTCGCAGAATTCTCAAAATTTTCCAACGTTTTATAGTGTGCTGTGAAACTTCATTGAGAGTTACTAGAGTAAGAGTCACTGAATTCTGCAGTTGCGTTTGCCACAGCCAACATTTTTTTTTACACAGTTTAGGGCAAAGATTCCTGATGAGGTTGAGAGAGAAATAGAATTTGAAGTTACTAATTGAGTAACATGGTTTTCGACAAACTTAATCACGGGAAGTCCACTCATTTCATCTGCATGCTTCAGATCAAAGTGTACACGTAAACTAAATAAGCTATTGCAAATGAACGTTAATGTTTTAGACATATTAGACGGTCGGTTGAGTCTCACTTGATCACCATAAGTTTTTATTAGTGAAGTCAGGGAGTTATAGGTAACACTGAATGAACGATTTTCTTTGATTGAACGTGGTTTCAAGTTATCTCCAATATTTTCCGAAGAGGATCCCGAATGTTGCACTTTTCAGGTGATTAATGCAGCTTGCCGCCAGTACTTTACACTTATTACACCTCAAGTATTGATCTTTGAAAGGTGACCATACCTAATTGTTTCTTTGCATTTTCAGGTAAGAGAGGTACTGCTGAAAGAAACTAGTATGGCTAAAGAAAAACCAGTGCTCCGTGAACATTTTGAAAATATAAAATAAAGTGTAAAAATTACACTCATGAGCATCCGTTCATAGTACTTTTTAATTGATCTCATCTTTTGTTGTTTGAGGGTATTCCGTGTAGCTTTTAAACTTATCAAAGTGAAAGCGGTTATGTGATTCGCTGAGTCCGCAACACAATTTTAAGATCCTGCCTTGCCGTTTTTCTATAAAAACTTCAGCTGTTAGCAAAATTAAAGTCGCTCAGTGTTACTGAACTTTTATTATCTGGTTTTATGTATCCAGTTTAGAACTGTGTTCTGTTTTGTGTCTTTCTTGATTTCCTATCTGCTATAAATAACCGTGATTGGAAACTGCTAAGACTCTGGATCAGTTTTATCATTACAGTTTATATTCTTATTTGAAATGTGTCACACTGACGTCTAACTTAATTACTTCGCTGTAAGGCACAAGATTTACATAGTAGATTTCATTTCTCACAGACTATATTTCAAACAGGCGAACAATTAATGTTTTTACTTCGAACGCTCGGAAGTGCAAAAGTACAGAGTCAAAATTACTGGTCAGGTGACAAATCGGCGGATCAATTACGAGGTTCTGAACAGTTCTTTCAAGACCGTCAGCCAAATCCACAGATATAACTCGTCCATGCTTTAATAAAAGCCTTGCTTGGCATCCTCCACCAAAACTTTCAAACAGCCGCAGCACTAATGCGTTAGAATCCTGTTCAGAAGGTTTTACGGTGTCAAGAATTACTCCTAAAAAAATGTGCTTAACTGACGAGCGCCACTTATCTTATTAGTGTTAATAGCGTAACAAAATGCACCTGTTCAACGAGCGAAGGACAAAGGTCACTTGAGTATACGTCTTTCGTAGACTGTGTCTTTAAATGAATGAAAAGGCGAGTAAAGGGAACCAAACAATGAACAATTTTGGCAAAAAAATTTAACTGTGGACAAACCTTCGCTCCCAATGACAGTGAAAATATCCGCAATTTTTGAGCAGGGCCATGAATTAACAAGTCGAATTGGAGAATTGAGCTCATGAGCTGCTTTAACAACATTTGTTCTGAACCCACTAAGAGACTCTTGAAGGGTGCCCAAAAACGGGAAGAATGCATACGTAAACTAAAATTTAATCACTGTTTCAGTAGGTCTGTTAAAAAAGAACCATATCAGGAAAAGAAGCGCAATATATTTGAATGGAAACCTTGTGGTATCCAATATCTGCTGTGCTATCTGGGCACTTGCTGGCTCTTAGAAGTGACAATCGCATCACATTGTCGTCACAAGCATGGCCATATTTGGAATCATTTAAGACAGCAACGCCTCGGCTATACTCCGAAAGTGCCATCCATTTGTGCCCACAAACTTCAAACCTACAAATTCGAGATGGCTTAGAGAGAGGAATTTTTCATCCATAACAGCCATAATAGCCAAGAACATACTTTGCAGAATCCCAAGTTGTGTTCCTATGAGTAGGACGAGAAACATGGCCATAATGAATATCATATACAGCATTTGACGAGTTAATATTTACAGGAAATTCTACCTTAAATGACACTAATGAAGAACTCTAACAAACTCGTCATTTAGTAGAGGACCTGTTGTAAAGAAGATCAAAGTCGTTTCAAACCTTCAAAAATTTGTGGGATTCATGCCAGTTAACTTCTACATCAAATAATAAATACGGGAGGTCAGCGCGAACGATTACTTTCTGTTTGATACTGCTTCCACTGCTTACTTTTATTTCCACACTTAGCTGCCCGAAAATGGCAGAGTTCTCAGCCACATCACTCGAAATCACCTAAAATACA